TTACCGCTATTAAAATTTTGACTCATATATAATTACACTAAATTTATTATTCCATTCATAACCATCGAAAAAATTTCCTAAATTTTAAATTGAGCAATTTAATTGTGGAAAAATAACTTAAGACTTTTATTATTTAATAATATAAATCTATATGAATGGTTTTGCTTTATAAAACTCATAAATTACAATTTTAAAAGTTATTATCAGTAATGCAATTAAATGGGGCCGGCTTTATAGGGATATCAACAAAAAGAAGCAATTCTTTTTTATTGATAGCGCATGTGTTATAAAATTAAAAATGATGGAAAAAATTTATCGATAGAGAGCAAGCAGTAGAGAAATGGGGAAAAAAAAGCAAATGAACTTTCTATTTTGTCTAAAAAAAGCTGTAAATGTGATTGACACTGTATCAGTTTACGAATCCTTAATGGAAGAACAAAATTTTCTAGGGCGAAAAAATTAAAAAGTTTTATTCAGACTTCAATAATCAAGTTTTAAAAAATATTTTCGGGTTCGGCAATATTTTCGGTTCCCGCATGCAAATACTATTTACAAGCAACAAGGAAATGTATTTGGTACTCAAAGAGTTAAAAAGCTTCAATTTTATTTTAAAAAATGAGAAAAAAAGAATTGGCTAATACTAGTCAAAATTACTCGCAGCTACATTTTTAATATTGATGAGGAAATTATATTCTATATGATGTACTTTCCAAATCAGAGATATAACTTAAAATGAAGATAATGATAATGGTTTAGATTAAATAAAAGAAAAAAGATCGCCACAGTACAGGATTGAAAACTACAGAAAATTAAAGGATTTCAATAGCAATTCTATATACTATGTGTAGTGATAATAATCACTGAATAAATAAGAATTTAATAATTAAAAATAAAGAAACTTAAACTGCACAATATTGTTTTCAAATTTAAATTTTTATTTTATTTTATTAAGAGTTTTTTTTCTAAGAGAAACTTGAATGATATTGCTTTAATAATCTTTATAAACGAGGAAGGTGAGAACCACACACAGTTATCATTTAAATATAAAAAGGTAAAATCATTCTTGAAGCAAACTATACTTTGCACAAGTATTCAAAGAAGATAGTTGAAGAGTGAATTACAAAACGGGTTTCAACAATCAAACTGTCTATAACCTGACTGACCACATAGAGCGTGAATAATTCTCTTAACAGCAAACGGAAAAAAGGGGTTGTATTCCCTTTGTCTGACCCCCGCCGTTTGAGGTAGATCTCTGATAAATATGCCTGCCCTTTTAAGAGTAAAACTATTTCAAGTAAGCGCCACCAGGAGTGTTAAATATTTAATTTACTTTCATTTTTTATGCTCAATTAAATACAGTAACATTTCCTCCTTATTACTTATGTTCAATTTTCTTTAAAAAAAAATTATTATTCCTTTGTTACTACCTTTTATAATCCCACTCCTTGCTTCACATTGATTTTCATCAAATTTTGGGTGGGACCTAAATCGGTATTTTGCGGAATTACTCCTTTACAAGAAAAAAAACTAATGCACAAAAATCTGTATCTTTCTTTCCTTAAAAAAGAGCCTTTAAATTAAAAAGGATGGGATAATATATTTAATTTTTTCTCTCCATTTTAAACTTTTTTCTCCTTTTTTTTTAAAAACTTTTTTAAGAAAAACATTGAAAAAGTGAAATTTACATTTCAGGTGTGCTGGAGTTGTGTTCTCTAAAGTTGGCAAAACTGCTGCTTCAGCCTTGGCTGGAAGTTTATTAATGTTTCAGGTAAAAATATTTTGTTTTAATTTACTTTATTCATTTATTTTAAGTATTTGAATAAGGTTCTATGTTCTCAGATGCTCTAATCATGAAATACAATCATCTCCACCTAATTGCAAATCAGATAATCAATCTGTAAATAATCTAATGATAAATAATCTGTTTATAGGAATAAAATTTAATTTCTAGTATATAAAAAAAGATACTGATTTTTGTTTCTTTAACATTTATTGAGGAAAATGAGCTTCCCAACATTTGAAGAATTTAACAGTTGCTTCATCTAAGGAGCTTCAGCTTCATCAAGTGAATTTCTTTACCTTTCTGACCAGTATTCACATCTGTTACGCATCATTCTGTTATTATTGACTCATTTTGTACGGATAGTGATCGCTTATTAAGTATTGGCTCTTCTGGGGTTTTAGATTATTTTCTTGTAACATGCCCGATATAGTTCTGTTACATGCATTTATAAGAATTACTTCTAGAAGTCATCAGTCTTTGATCTAGAAGTCATCAATCAGTCTTTGGCATCTAGAAGTCATTTATCACACTTGAATTGAAATATTCATTTTATTGGTCTTTAGATAGTATGTAGTGTTCTTTATAAATTGCACATTAGTGTTCATCAAAATGTAATGTGGGAATCATACTCTGGGTTGCGACCCTTTGTTCCCTCATTGTTTTCTAAGTACTGAAATATTTAAATGGTAAATAAGAAGAAAATAAGGGGAACCGCTGCATAAATACAAAAGGCCCTTAAACAAATTCAAGAATATTTATCTTTAAAAATAGCTTATCACAACTAATTTAAAATTGAATATTCATAACATGGAAAGAAAGACAATCAAAAATGAAGCTCCTTCCATTCGTGAAAGTTAAAGCAGAAATGCGGTGTTGATCTAGTAATATAAGCCCGTCAAATTTGTGATTCTGTCTTTTAAGATAATGAGTAAATTTAAAATAAAATAGGGCAGTGGTTAAAAGGTTATGAATGTAGTTTAAGTTTCAAGAGCAGTACTGCAACTTGAATTCGAAAAATAATCAACAGTACTTGAAAAAAAATATATTGATTGGTATCAGCTTTGTTGCCGATGTTCCCATCAACCAATTTTTTACCCTTTATTGTCTAGTTTAACTTGTAAATTTTTATCTGGATAAATAGACATCTGGATTAAGCGCCTCTTTAAACTTTGACTCAACCTTCAAGACAATTTTAGTAAATATTGTCATTTTTTAGACATTTAAAGTTACTTTTTTAAAAAAAATCCTATAATAAAAGACTTTAGTATCTATTATTTTTAAAACAAGTAAAAGGGTGCCAGTTTTCTTAAAAAAAATTTTTTTTAGTCATGATATTTGTTAATAAAAAAATTTATTTTACTTGGAATTTATTTCCCACTTGACGTTAAAAAACTTGTCGAGTCATAAAGTTCATTAAGATGTCAAAAATGATAAAGTAGCTTCTTTATCACTTTATTTTTTGTGGTTTAGAGAAAATACAAGCTCTTTAAGTCATATTACAATACAGTGTGAAAAAAATTAAACCACTACTTAAAGAGAAAAAGAGATTAATTTCTTAAAATTTTGGTGAATATTATCAAAAAAAATAGAAAGAATTAATTGTGTCACAAAGTGTTTAAGGTGTTATAATAACACATATGCATTTTTTTCTTGGTTATGATGATGAAATGTGGTAAAACAGTTATAATTTGAGGCACCATAGAAAAGCACCTGAAAAGAATATGAAAAAAAATAATTATCTGACTAGCTGAAAACAACATAAATTTTAGTGAGGAACTCTAGTAGACATACAGTGCAGATGCAATGTGAAATGATTTCACATAATTATTTGCATCAAATAACATTATTTTCCTTTCCAACTGTAATAATTTCTGAATTTTTTCCCTTTTTGTGGTATTATGTCCTAAAATGAAATGACACCAATGTACTGGGGAACTCCCCAGTTTCCTTACGGCTCAGTATCGTACTACTCCCCTCCCTCGAAATATTTTCTTGCTATTCCACAAATTAAATGACTAATAATCAAGTTATAAAAATGTTTAAAATAATTTTTTTACCAAAATTTTGTTTCCAATATCTCTCTTTCTCAAATGCAATATGAGCTAATTATTCACATTATTCTATGTACATTAATAATATTTATTGAATCAGTTTTGAAACGCATGTGCATTTCTTTTCTATTGCTGGTGAATCACTCTTGTAGTAAAAATTAAAATCAGAAGAGACTAGTGTCAATTAGCATTAATAATGAAAACAAGATGAGCATTAAATTAAAACAGATTCAATGTACTTCATTAAGAAGATATGAGAAATCACCAATTTATACTATGATCAAACAACTAATTATGAATAAGAACTATATAACGCTTTCCCCCTTTAAAGCTGGTGCTGTGAATGATGCCATGTAACGGTAGTTAGAAATCAGTGAGCAGAAGTAGACTTCTTTAAAACTTACAGCAGCTTATCAGGAAAATCAGGCTAGTTCCTTAAAGGTAAAGTAAAAAAAGATGCAGAAACAATTCTAAAATTATGTGAATATAATTATTTTTTCTTAAAATGCCAAACACATTTTTAGAAACTATTTTTAAATGACTAGAAAACTTGCAAGTTGTTATGTGTGATGGGACTGGTAGCACCATCTTTGAGATTCAGGATTAACTATGACTCATGCTTAGAAGAGAATTTTAAAAAGAATAGGGAAGAATTTTGCTTAATAATTACCGTATTATTTGGCAAAAGCGCCGTCGCGCTATCATAAAAAAGTAGTTTTTTTCCTACATGCGGCGCTTCTGATGCAATAATTTTTAGTAGCACAAAAATTTACCAAGCAAAATTATTTAAGATTAAATAATTTTCTGAGAGAAAGACTATAAAAAAAAAAAATTATAACGAAGTCGACGAAATATTCACCTGAATCGCGATCTGCTGCAGAACAATCACCAATTCTTAGCAAACTTTGGGCAGCAGCCAGCAAGTAAATAAATAAACAAAATAATAATTAAATAGGACCCCAAATCCGGGACTGACGAAATTACGTATTTCGGAATTTGCCGAACTTCGAATCTCTTTTGGAAATTCCAATATGGCTCCCATATATTACTATAATTCAATTATGCTGTTAATTTCAGAAAACCAATAAATTTAGTTAAGTTTCGATCATAGATTATGATAGGGTGAATTTAAAACTGGCCCATCTTAAGAAATTTTGTTAGTTAAAATAATAATCCATTTAATATATCAACAAGAAATAGTCCGAAGCAGAAATAATCAGAATCCTCCGAAGAAATAATCGCTTCTTCTTCAGAGCGAGATCATAGTTCTCGTTTTTTTTTTTAGATAACATTTTGTTTTAGCAAAAGATGCTCACCTCACAAAAAAAAGCTAACATGGAATTGCAAAAAAAGTAACAATTAATGCTAAGAAACTAACAATGAATAACAACAATAAACAAGCTAACATCTAATAATGATAAAAAGAAAAACAAGCAAACAACTAATAACAAGGAGAAAAAAAACAAGCTAACTATTAACAAAAAAAAATTAACAATTAATAACTAATAAATAAATCCACAAAATAAAAAATAAATACATCGAATAAAAGAAACCGTAAAAGGGATAGATTTCATTTTGTATCCCACATGGTAGCTTCAATGTCAACTGGGTGTGGTAAATTTATGAGAGGGAAATGTGGAGGCAAAGAAGTAGAGCACAAGCACGGCTGTCAAGATTGATCAGTTTCTTTCAACTTGTTATTTTGCTCATTGGAAATGCAGGTGTTTTTACTTTTCACTTTATTTTAAACTGCTTAAGGAACAGATGCTTTGTTTGACACAGATTTATTTTTTTTTCATGCTATTTATTTTTAAAAGATAAAATAAAGTTACTTACTTCTACAGAATAAAATTCCAAATTAAAAGAGAATATAAGTGATTTTTTTTTTGTCTTATCCAATAAAATTTCTTTTAAAAAAATAGATTGAATTAAGTGCCAATTTTCGGGATGCCGAATTAGGGGTCCCATACTATATCTCCTTTTCTTTTCCCTAACCCCTTTAAAAATAACTGATTGATTCCTCCTAAACAGTTCCAGTAGAAATAACAAGCGGAGGAGGTGGGGTTCACTCCTCTTTTATACATTTTCTTCTCTCTTTCTAAGCTGAGTCATATTATGTTATTTCCATTGAAGGAGAGGGCATTCTACCCACTAAAATTTGTGGAAATAAGTAGTTTCCAGTTATAAACTTTAGTGTTTGAGTTTTTTTTTTTAGATTCGTTTCCAGGATGGAAGTAAAGGGAATTCAAGAAACAAGCATTCAATCAATGTGACATACAAAATCGTTATCTATAAAAGAACGAACAATTTTCTTCTTTCATGCCGGTGGAGAGGGATGAGCAGCCAACTCATCTTTTGAGTCTTTGGCCAATTGTATGATGATCCAATATATATATTTGTATATTCAATTAGAATTTTAGATTTAAGTTAACCATTGAAAGTAATCATAAATGTGTTTCAGTTTATTTGTGTACTTCATGATTTTTAGCATACTCTGCTTTGTGAGTTAAATCCACAAAGGTTATGGGCCTTTGCCCACCTGAGCGCTATTTGCAAATGTCAACGCCTTTTCCCACGTCAACGATATAGATTCAGAAGAAATTCTATCTGGGAGCTGAAAGATTTATTTTAATAGCAGGAAGAAACCAAGTTTTGAATATGGAAGGAAATTCCGAATCAACGAACTTAGCTTTTCCCAAACTTGGAGCATTCAACTACGATAGTTGGAAGTGTGACATGAGAGTGGCTCTGATGGATCGTGGAAGTTGGGAATTCGTCGGTGGAGCTGAACCACCATCACCACCTGTAGACACTGCCCCAGAATCAGTTAAACAGAATTTCGAGATAAGGAAAGCTAGAGCTTATTCTACAATATATCAAGGTGTTGAACGTCAAATTTTGAAGTTGATTCAGTCTACTACAGATGAGAAGAAA